TAATACTACATTAATGAATCCAATTTAGAGATATTAGAGGTGGTGTGATGTAGTGCACAGAATGCTGGATTTAGAACTGGGGAAGGATTTGTTCAAATCCCTGCTCACTCATGGAGCCCCCAGGATGACCTTGCGAATATCATCTACAACTTCACAGCATTGTGAGGATAAAATACAGAAGGGTAGAATGTTGTAAAGTGAGGTTTAAGCAAAGTAAAAAAAAAATCATCTAAATCTAATTTAATACCCTTTTAGGGTTTTGTCTTAATAAAATGGGGTACATGTTGTTCTAAGTTCCTTCAGGGAAGGGTTGCTCTGCAATTATTTGTTTGTTTACTGGCATCCTTACTGTGGAGCCTGAGCCTGAAAGTGTTAGGCAGTCCTGTTAGGAAAGATTTGAGGGAAACATTTTGAACATTCTTGAGAAGAGAGCTGGTTTGATTTTTGGGACTCTTGACCCGAAATTGCTTTGGGACTAGCACTGCCTGTATTTTCTTCCTACTTGATTCCCAGCATACCTGCTCAACCCATACATTTATAAAAAAATCAACAATCCCAAAGCAGGAGTCTCCAGGGCTTTATCTTCCAAAGGGAATTGGTCTTTTAAAGACTGCCTTGAACATCGTACCATTCTGGGAAAAGAAAGCATGAAAGCATATTTTCTTGAACTTTACTTGCCCTTAAATTGCTTGTGTTCTGAAGAAACATTAATAAATTACCAGACTTCTGAAGAGTTGATGGCTGTTTGTTATACTGTACCTAAAAAGAGTATCCTGGCTAGGAACCAACAACAAAAACATGAGGACCAAAAACAATAACAAAACCCTCCTTGCAATTATCTCCTTTTTAGATGGTAAAAGAAAGAATTCTTCAATGTTATACTCCAGGCCTTGGAACTAAATTCCTTTGAGATCAGTAGGACTGATCAAAAGAACCCTGATGGATCAGACCAAGGATCTGTCTAGTCAAGCATCATGCTTCTTTTCTAGCAGTGGGAAGCCAGATAGCTTACAAAGATAGTAATTCTCCCTCATTCTTTCTTTATTTAGAAAAATTTTATGCTGCCTCTCCAGGAACCTGTCCATGATGTCTTACAAAATAAAAAATAATAAGACAAAACATTAAGATGTTAATTAAAATCTAATATTTAAAACCCCAGCCCCAGCATTAAAATATAGACCATAAAAAAGACCACAGACAGCTTACAGACTAAAGAAGTGTTAAAAATCACCCCTTAATTAAAAACTTGGGTGAACAGAAATGTTTTGGTCTGGTGTCTTAAAAGAATGTAGGCACCTGGTGAGTCTCAAGGGAGCTGCCTTACCTCTGAAGGCAAAAGTACAGACAGTAGGCCTTATGAGGCAGGCCTTCAAGTAACCTGGCCCAAGCCATTTAGTGCTTTAAAGGTAAGAATCAGCGCTTTGACTTGTGCCCAGTAACAAAGGGCAGCCAGTACAGATCTTTCAGCAATGGGGTAATATGATTATATCCTGCCCTGACAGTAGTTTGGCTGCTGCATTTTTTTCAAGCTGAAGTTTCTAGACTGTTTTCAAAGGCAACATTACAGTAACCTGTTGTTGTTGTTCAAAAACAACATTAACCTGTTGTTGTTGTTCAGTTGCACAGTCGAGTCCGACTCTTCGCGACCCTATGGACCACATCACGCCAGGCCCTCCAGTCTTCCGTTGTATTGATAACACCGTCTAACCATCTCATCCCCTTCTTCTTTGACCTTAAATCTTTCCCAGCATCAGGGTCTTCTCCAATGAGTGCTCCCTTCTCATTTGATGGCTAAAGTATTTGATCTTCAGCTTCAGGATCTGGCCTTCCAGGGAACAGTTAGGGTTGATTTCTTTTAGGATTGACTGATTTGATCTCCTTGCAGTCCAAGGAACTCTCAGGAGTCTTCTCCAGCACCATAATTCAAAAGAATCTATTCTTTGGCACTCGGCCTTCCTTATAGTCCTACTCTCGCAGCCATACATTACTACTGGGAATACCATTGCTTTGACCATACAGACTTTTGTTGGCTTTTATTATGCTGTTTAGGTTTGCCATCGCTTTCCTTCCAAGGAGCAGGCGTCTTTTAATATCATGGCTGCAGTCACCATCTGCAGTGATCTTGGATCCCAGGAACGTGAAGTCTGTCACTGCTTCCATAACTTTCCCTTCTATTTGCAAAGGAGTGATGGGGCTGGATGCCATGATCTTAGTTTTTTTGATGCTGAGTTTCAAGCCAACTTTTGTGCTCTCGTCTTTCACCCTTAGCAAGAGATTCTTTAGGTCCTCTTCACTTTCTGTCATTAGAGTCCTATCGTCTGCATAACTGAAGTTGTTGATGTTTTTCCCAGCAATCTTAATTCCAGTTTGTGATTCATCCAGGCTGGCATTTCGCATGATGTACTTTGCATATAAATTAAATAAGCAGGGTGACAATATACATCCTTGTCATACTCCTTTTCCGATGCTAAACCAATCAATTGTTCCATACCCGGTTCTAACTGTTGCTTCTTGACCCTTATACAGGTTCCTCAAGAGACATGTGAAGTGTTCTGTTATTCCCATCTCTTTAAGGACTTGCTTGCCATAGTTTGTTGTGATCCACATGATCAAAGTCAATGAAGCAGAAGTAGATGTTTTTCTGGTACTTTCTTTCTTTCTCCATAATCTAGCGAATGTTGGCAATTTGATATCTAGATCCTCTACCTCTTCGAAACCCAGTTTGTACTTCTGGCAGTTCCCTATCCACGTACTTGTTGTTCAGTCGCACAGTCGAGTCCGACTCTTCGCAACCCCATGGACCAGCTCCCGCCAGGCCCTCCTGTCTTCCGCCATCCTTTGAAGTTTGCTCACTTTCATGTTGGTTGCATCCACGTACTGCTGAAGCCTAACTTGTAGGATTTTGAGCATGAAGAAGTGTGTGAACTGAGTGCAATTGTACAATAGTTTGAACATTCCTTGGTATTGCCCTTCTTTGGGATTGAAATGTAAACTGACCTTTTCCAATCCTGTGGACACTGTTATGTTTTCCAAATTTGCTGGCAAATTGAGTGCAGCACTTTAACAGCATAATCTTTTAATACTTTGAATAGCTCAGCTGGGATACCATCACCTCTGCTAGCTTTGTTGTTAGTAATGCTTTCTAAGGTCCATTTGACTTCGCATTCCAGGATGTCTGGCTCGAGGTCAGTAACCTGACCAGTGTTCCCTCTAAGCTGAGTTAGATCACAGTTTTTTAGCCTCCGGCTCACACATTTTTGTCTTAGCTCAGGAAGGATGGCTCCAGAGCAAATTAATCTGTGCAGTAGCTAAATTGCTTGCTCACAACTTTAATGCCAGCAGCTCACAAAGTAGATTTTTTGTTCACAAGACTCCACAGCTTACAGAAGTATTGAACCTGACCTGGATGTAATTAGAGAGAACGGATCACTGTGGTCACATCACATTTTTCAAGGAATGGCCATAGGTGGCGTATCAGCTGATACTACCGGCCACAGAGGAAATATGCCTACACCTGGAGGCTAGGATCCAGCAGTACCCCAATCTATGAACCTGCTCCTTAGGGGGAATGCAACCCCCTCTAGGACAGGCTGACTGCTCAGTCATTGACCAGCAGAATCTCAGCCTTATCTGGACTGTGCTTAGTTTACTTGCAGTATCTGGTATTCAGAGGCATACCAAACTAAACCAACATGCCTGTAACAGGGTAGGCAACTTTTTTTAGCCTTGGGGTGGGAAAAATGCAGTGTTCACCTGTGAAGCTGTTGATGTGCTGGTAAACAAATGGGGGGAGGGGCAAGGATTGTACTTGCTGGACCACACTATGTAGTCTATATGTTTTGATATTTTTTTTGCAGGGGAATAAAAGACTGCATTAGAAAAATCAGTACACAGTATCAGTGGTCATTACTTTTGATATACACAGTCAGGAATGTGATTTCAGTGGAATAAATACCTGTATTTTTCTGGTGAGCAAGATCCTAGTGAGGCACAAGGGCACCCCAATAGGGCAATTTAGTATACACAAACTTTCACTCATAATGATCACATTCTAATTTTAATAACTGCCATACAGTAGGGGGATCACCCCCTACTCAGGATCCTGTTGGCTTTCTACCTACACCCCAGTTTAACTACACCCCAGCTTTTAAGATGCAAGGGAGCTTCCGTACCAAGCAAATTAGGCGGTTACTGTAATGTAATCTGAAGAAGTGAGCAGTGACTCATGAAAGCTCATACCCTGCCGCATATTTTGTTAGTCTTTAAGGTGCTACTGGACTCTTGCTCTTTTCTACTGGGTGTGGTACTGTTCAGCAACCATGCCATGGGTCAATTATCTCTGGCCTACAACCAGGTATAAAACCCAAATTACAGTATCTACAGAAGCTGGGAATATTCAGGCTTGATTTTGGTTTAGAGGGAGGAAACTGCAAAATATATCAGGATTTGTTTCGCTTCTCTGTGGGATCACTTCCAATCCTACAGCAGCTTTTAAAGTTTCTACCTTCATGGAACTCTTTCCATGTACTGTTGTGAAATATGATGGGAACTTCCTGGAGACTAAGAGGGACAATGGAAAAAACTGAAAATAAGACAAAGTAGGCACTACTACAAAGAGAGGTTTAATATCAGGAGTAATTTTTCTTCTGGTTTTAAGATGTTTGGCTGTATTGAATTAGATGTAAGATAATACTTTTTTAAAAAAAAACACTCTGAGCCTTTGGGACAAAGTGGACATCTATCCAAGCAAATTAATAGGCTTGCTTAGGCCTTGACAAGATTTTTATTTTACAGTCTTTTCCTGGGATATGATCTCCAATCCCCTTTCTCAAGTTTAAAAATATTACAAAAATCCAAACGAAATCCCAGACTTAAAACAAACACGAATTTTAGCTGGCTTTAAACAAAAGTTGGTCCCCGGAGAGCCAAATCCTTCTTTCCATAAGTAGAAGCTTCCTCGAGTGCCCTGGTTCTTTCTGGGGACACACTTCTTGGCAGGAGAGTTGTTTACTCCCTCCAAAATGTCACCAGCCTCTCATTCGGCGGGCAGTTTCCAAACCGAGTGCCTCCAGCTCCCTCTGCACCAACACGTGTGTGTGTGTGTGTGTGTGTGTGTAGGAAGGGAGGGGCGGAAAGGAGTCTCCGTCTCCCCCTCAGCGGGGCTTTGGCAGGGACCCCGCTTGCCTGCCGATTCGCGGCGGCGGCGACCCGTTCCAGGGAAGCAGCCGTGTCAGCAACTCGGCCGGGTCCTCTCCGGAGGTCAGTTTGCAAGCGGTCGCCGCTCGCTGCTGTGCGTTGAGGAAAAACGGCTCGGCAACGTTAAAAACAAAAACATGGAGACTTAAGTAGGAGGCTTCACTGGCGGAAGAGAGCGATTCCATGCTGAGGAGGCACCAGGAAAACGAGGTAAGGGGAAATGGGGGGGGGGGGAGGAGGAGAGGAGAGGAATCCCGCCTGCAAACGGGGAAGGGCGGAAGGCGAGCGCTGTTCTCAAGGCAGCACAGCCCAAAGAGCGTTACCGGCGTCAGATAGGCCGATGGCGGGGCTGCTTTCGAAAGGCGGCGGCGGTTGAAGCCGGGGCCTACTTGGCGCGCGGTCCTCTCGGAGGAAGGCTCTTCCCTTCGCACAGGCCCTAGCGCAAGGCCGGCCTTCCTTGTCGCAGGAGGGGAGAAGAGCGGCCGCCCCTGTGGAAACCCTGAGATCTCCGGAGGGCGCTCCTCGCCCCTCCCCCGAGGCTTCCTCCTCCGCTTGCCGGGCCTGGCATTCGGTCCGAGCCGCCCTTCCGCTCCGGCAGTAGGAAAGCCCGTGGACTGTTGCGTGGTGTGGCCGGTAGGGCGGGCGGTTCGCGCTGCAAGGAAAGATCGCTCTGTGGCTCCTCCTTCTCCAGGACAGGCGGTGAAGGGACAGTTCGCGGAAGCCGCCTCGGCGTTGTTGAGCTCGCCTTCTCTGGGTCTGGGGGACAAGGTCTCGGCCAGAAAAGAGTAAGTTGTCTCCCTGGGCGGTTAAGCCTATTCGCTGAAACTTCCCGGGGCCTGCTAGTATTGGCTGGCTGGGCTGGGGATGAGCGAGGCCGTTCCTGTCAGGTCTCCATCCGGGCTCAGCCCCGGACTCTCTTTTGAATGTTAGGGTCAGTGTATAACCAGCTATAAAGTGAACGTCTGATCATCTGTGGGAGACTTTTCCCGCATCACCGAGGAGCTACAACCAGCCTATGTATTGGGGGACGGGACACGGGGCACATTCTCTCAGCTGCCGAGGGGCATAGGAAGCGGATGGGAGAGCAGAAGGCTATGCTGTCTGTGACTTGAGCCAGCAGTTATCCAACTTCAGGTTCAGAAGCGTGTTGTCGTGTTAGGGGTCAGTCCTGGGACGTGAGAAATGGTAAGGGACGTGAAAATGCCTCTGAGCACTTGTTGAGTGCTTTCCTGGCACGGCTGAATAATCTCTAGCTATACAGCTGGATTTGAGATTTAGCCCATATTATTTTAGAAACAAGCAGTTCATCACTTTCTTCCCTTTGCCCATTTGGAAGCCCTTAATTGATATGCTCTGTAAGGAAGAATAAGGGATTGGTTATGCTTTCCGACTTTTTTGTTTTGTTTTGTTTTGAGAAGGCGAATTTCTGAATCCTAAATTATTATCCTAAATTATTATTATTTGATATAATGCTTTCAATAGTGCAGGAGAAAAAGTGAATGAGAACTTTGAATGGAATGGGTAATACCATTTAGAATAGATAGTATCCTGGCAAGGCAAATACATTTTAGGTCTCTACTTCTGGTTATGCACAGTGTAAAGTATATTTTAAGGCAGGAAGTCCAAATGACTAAGAGGTATAGTTATGAGAGAAATAACAGGATTTTGTTAAACTGTTCTAATATCTAGAGGATCAATTGTAGTGTCCCATTTTTAAGGGAGCAGGGAGTAGAGGTTTCTTGGGGAATATCTCTAGGTTTGTTTAAAAAAATCTCCAGATAGTTTGAGAAACATATGTTTTCCAGTCTTTTCCCACTTACTCTTTTTATTACTTCTGAGTTCTTTTCCCAGGGGTTGAGTGTAAGAGAGCTATAATCCTGTTCACACACATCTAGATAAAACTCATGAAAATCACAGATCTTTTCCCCCTCCCGCCCCTCCCCCCAACTTAAGTTTGATTTCTGAAACTTAGCTCAACTGCTCAGCCAGGGAGTCTTCTGTTGTTTCCAGAAGATGTCCAGACTTGAGTTATGGCAAATCTCCAAATGCAGAGACGTCTATTGTTGCAAGGCAACTGCCATCCCCTTATAGTGTGGGTTTGTCTTGAGTGCTTTTTGAGTTGAGTTCCAGTACTGTGATGGGGCATTACAGTCTGAAGAAGTGTAGGTGTAAAATTATTAGTTCAAGATTTTAGAAGTTGTAGATTGGATTTATTATGTACTTGATTTGTACTCTGCCTTTCTCCCCAATTGGGACCCAAAGCAGTTTATGTTCTCCTTTCCCCCCTTTTTATTCTCATAAACCTACCCTGTGAGGTAGGTTAGGCTGAGGGTATATGAGTGGCCCAAGGTCACCCAGCAAGTTTCCATGGCAGAGTAGGGATTCAGACCTGGTTCTACCAGTTCTTAGTTCAACACTCTAACCAGTGCACCAGCTCCCGGTGTATGCCATGTTAATATACTACTCAGTGGTTGAAATGGTGACTTATAGTTAAATAAATTATTAATTATTTGCATTGGTGCTGTCTTACAGAACTAAGAGGCTGCATTGACACGTTCAGTATTGTGCTGTTGTTGTGCTGGAGCAGTCTTTTTGCAACTGGATTTTCCTGTGTGAACAAGGAAGTCCAGGAGGTGAAATGATCACTACATCCAGCAATGTGTGGGTGCAGTATTAGTGTTGCAGCTGCTATGGGAATAATGTCATAAATATGTCCATACAAATGTGTGTTGTGGTGTACTTCATAAGTGTAGTGGTACTTCATATGAATTGCAGCAATCATGTTGCAAGTTTCCTGATCAGCAGGGAAGTAGAGTAGGATGAGACTAGATAGGCATATAGGTGTGCGTGTTACAGCCAGTACATGGGTCAGTTATCCTAGGGATTCCATTTTTCAGTGGCTTCCCTGTAGCTGACTGTAGCATGTATTTTTTACTTTGGTGTCACTTGAATATTTGTGCACAGATGTGCTTGAATTTAGGGTGTTTGAGGTTTTGTAAATTTGTATTTGTTGTCTTTGACTATGTAGAAAAGTTGGTGGCAACTTAAATGTACCTTGTGGTTGTTCTTAGCTGTATGAAAAATCAGTAATTTACTGTTTTCGGACCAGTGGCTAGCTAAGCACAATCATCTCCCCAGATTTCGTGTACAAATAAGGACAAGTAAGTTTATGAAGAATGGTTTGATGAGTGTGGTCAGGGGGTAAAAATGGCAAGTTTGAGGTCTTGAAAAAGCCTCCACATCATAATGTGTTTCTACAGTATCTTTCACAGAAAACTACTTGGTCTAGGTTTCGCTTTCTAGGTTGGTGGAGTAAACTCCAGTTATAGGTTAGGGATGTGTTGTGGCTCAGTGGAAGAGCCTCCACTTAGCATGTGTAGTGTCGGACTAAGGTCTGGGAAATCCAGGTTCAAATCCCCATTCGTGCCATGGAAGCATGGGTCAGTCACACACTCTCAGCCTAACCAACCTAACAGGGTTGTTGTGAGGATAAAATGAAGTAGGAGGAGAATGATGTAAGCCACTTTGGGGTCCCCATTGGTGTGAAAGGTGGGATATAAATAAAGTAAATAAATAAATGTGGAAGGTCCCAGGTCCAGTCCCTGACATCTCCAGTTGAAAGGACCAGGCAGAACCACTGGCAGTCTGAGTAGACAATACTGATCTTGATGGATCAGTAGTCTGATTCAGTATAAGGTGGCATCATGAGCGACCATATGTATATACATAAAAGCTTTCTTCATCAATTTTGTTTTGGGGTGTTCCTGCGCTGTTCTTTACATCTAAATTTTCAAAGTGAGGCTTGTTGCCAGGAATATGTTTTACCATTTTGGGCTGGCATACTGGTTGCATCCTGTCTTTGAGCAGACTGACCTAGCTACAACTATCCATACCCTGATGACATCTAGATAGGATTACTGTAACACACTCAATACAGGGCTGCTTCTGAAGAATATATGGAAACTGCAGTTAGTTCAATGTGGGGTTACTAGACTGCTGATGAGAATGCTAGATGGAGCATGTAACTTCAGTATTATTTGCCTCCAGTGCTACTTGCATCAGCCTTTTTTGTCCTTGATTCAAAATGCTAGTGCTTGAAGTTTAAATGCTTAAACTTTAAAGGCCTAAATTTTCTGGGCTGGACTGTCTAAGGTAAGTATTCGACTGTGTGCACCTGTCTGACCTCTTAAATAAACACTGGTGGCCCTGCTGTGTTCTTCTGCTAAATGAAGTACACTTAATTGGGATGTGTGACAGTGGTAGCGCCATGCATATGAAATCCCCTCCTTTGGAAAATCTGCTCATCCTCAACACTGTTTTGATTCTGATAAGTGGTAAAGATTTCAGAAGGCCTTTGAGCCTTTTCAGAGCTTTCCTATGAATGGGCTGGTTTGTTTTCTCCCCCTTTCTGTCATATCTTTAGGTGAATTTGATTTTAACTTAATTGGTTATTAATTAATTTATAATATTTGATAGTTCAGTTGTTAGCCTGCGTGGAAATTTTATTTTCTGTTGAGAAGTGAGAGAAAACATTTTAATTAATTTGTTAAATTAATCCCCACCACCATTCTTTGAACCATTGCTTAGGAATGAATCTGGATCCTTTGCCCTTTGTAGGTCTTGGCCTTATGTTATTACTTGAGACCAAAGTTTTGTGTTCCAGAAAACATAGATTGACAGTTGTCTTGTATCTGTAATCACTTAAAGTATTCCCTTTCAGAAGAGTATCCATTTCCTGACACTGTTTTGTATTTGTGGAGTACCTATTCTGTTAGCGTCAAGATAATGTAGAATTCTTGTTGGTTAATGTTTATGGGTGGATGAATTCATAGATAATCACTTCGATGCAGTTTTGAGTGTGTGTTAAGATCCTAGCTAACATACATAATAAGCATGGCACCCATGAAAATTGGGGAGGGGATCTCATCCCCTGGATAGTCTTCTTGCCTATGCTGCCTTGGCCTTTCCCTCCCCATGGTAGCACTTGGAGCTTCTCCCCTTTCCCTCACCACTGCAGCAGCCATTTGGGGTTACCTTGGCAGACTGTCTATAGTTACCTAGGCAATCCAAAACGGCTGCCAAGATCTCAAGAGGGCTCAGCATTATAAAATATTTTTGTGTTATAGTAATCCTTTCTTTTAAGAAAGTAAGTCTTTTCTGTAACCCCGGATTTCCCCTGTCATGGAAAAACAGCTCCCCCATTGTGCATG